ACCATAAAATGGTAATTGTGTGGTCATTTCTACATTAGTGATTTACTAAGTAGGGAATTTTCAGTTTATCTTTAGAAAAAACATTGTGCTAAAAGTGTTTACTAAAATAATTCTTTTAGCTAAAAAATTATGTATTTTTTGCAAAATTCAAAAATGGCAACCCACAAAAAATTTTCATGATACTAAACGAAGCATAGTTTGAATGTAACAAAGAAATTAAAACAAGCTGAATGTATAAAGATTAATCTCATGTGAGAATAATCAATTAGTTGAATGAAATTTAACTAATGAACACAATGATTAATTGCTTTGCATATTCCACTAATTACCCAGCTATAATTACTGGATTCTTAACAGATTTTGTGCAGTTAGCAGATTATTATATCTATCTAAGGTATAAAAAAATGCTCTTTATTTGTAATGTAGTTGTTCTGGTGTTGTTTTAGTAGCTATACATTTTATAACAACATGTTACCTAAAAGAAGGTTTAGGTTGTGGAAAATGATTTTTTTTTTATTCAAAATGCAGTGACTTTCATCCACTGTAGGTGACTTGGTTTGAGATAGATCTGTACTATTTTACCAATTCAAAATATTTAAAAACTACTGTAAGTGAATTAGACTTGTTATGCTATTCAAAATTAATTATAAAAACATATTTGATGTTATGTTGACAAGGAACCCACTTGAAGTAAAAATATATATGTTTATATATAGTAGAGATGACTGATATGGGTATTAAAAACAAAACAAGTAACAATGTTATAACTTATCTTGTGTTAGGATAAGTTGGAAGAAATGACTTTTGAAAGAGCACAAATGTACTTGCTACCAGTCAAAAATGTGATTTGGCAAACAAAACATTTTGGGACTGAATAGTTTTTTTTTTAGTTAATCACTTCTGTACAAACCAATAAGATAATATGAGGCAATAACAAATCAGTCAATGAAAAATAAAATGATGATAATGAAAATAAAGCATAGCAACAAAATGTTTTTATACCAGTTAATTTTATAGGGCTAAGTTTTGCCTGTAGCATAGCTATACTTTTGAAAACATTGTTAAAACTAAAGAATTTAATAACTGTATTGATTTGTTTGCTAAATGTCTTTACAATTTGATGTTTTGACCTATTTTAACTTTACTTTTCATGAAGGCAGATACTGCTGATAAGAATCTTAAGTATTGGTTCAGAAAATGGTAAAGAAAGAAAAAAAAAAATCTACCAATGCCTAATGTAAATTTCCCTGCTAAGACTAACAAGCTAAGTAAAAAGAATGAAAGGGTTAAAGTTTAGAATTAACACACTAGAACTTTCATCCACCGTAGGTGATTTGGTCTGAGATCTGTGCTATTTTACCAATTCAAAATATTTTAAAACTACTGTAAGTGAATGAAACTTGTTATACAGTTAAAAATTAATTATAATTAACGCAATGAAAATTTTCAAAAATATGAAATCAAATGAATAATACATTTTCTTTTTTGGGTGCATTATTTGTTGCCAGACTTTCAGTTTGTCTTTACAGTTTCAAGTTTAAGCTATTTCACATCTGTTTTCTTTTAATTTTATTGTTGTTTTTTTTGCTAGACTTTGTTCATGGGTAGCTGTATATTGCTCTGTGAAATTAGCCACAGCAAGAGCCCATATCATATTCATCCCCCTCCTACACACACACATATAAATATAAAGTAAACGAACCAATCTAGTTGCATATAGTTTAAGCTTGTTAGCATGAGTAAGCTTATATTTGTAAGCTCATAGAATAGAATGTTTCAAAACTAAGTTAACTGGCTTTCTAACTAAACTATTGGTAGGATAAAATTCTGTTTGCAGCTTGGAGCTGAACAATATAATCACTAACAAAGAATCTGAGGCCAACTGTCTACATAAGCCTGCCAAAAAGAAATAACTATCATAAGATTTTTGTAGGTGAAAAAATGCTTTTTCTGTTGGTTATAAACATGTCCATCAAATAAGTACACGTGTTTTACAAATTTGTTGGTATCACAACAATTCAAGAAGGTAGGAGGCTCAAATTTTACATTCTGGCCTTTCATTATCTATTGTTTGTGTTTTTAATTGGTTGGACATTGAAAGTCTTATAAGGGAAGAAAGAAAATACATGAGAGATAAACCAGAGCACAGATGCATCATGTGATGCAGAGAAGTGAAGATTGAGAATGCATTTAAATATCTCCTTTTAAAATTCAAAATTGAAACTTAGATAATATAAAAACTTGAATTATAAACAACATTTGGATGCCAAGTTTATTGACATGTATTCATAATAGAGTTGTTTAATTAATTGTTAAAGCAGTATTTTTTAAATAAATAAATATATATATAGACTAATCTAAGTGACATATAAAATATAATGTAATATTCACAATGTAAATAAAGCTGTAATGTAAAGCCAGGATGAAATTTGGATTAATTATGATCCACTATTGTCATTATGCTGATGCCATAGAGATCACATGGACTTTGATCTTTGAATATCATGTTTTATGTGAAGAAAGGGAAACATTGGTAAGGTTGCATATATCTAAGTTTACATATTTGTAAATTATTTTTCTATGACTTGTTTTTGGTTAAAGTAATTTTGGTGTTTGAAGTTTATAATTTGTTCTTTCATAAAACATATCATAGTGCTTAACATTTATTTTCTGTAATTACATATCTAGTCTTGATTTTCATATATTTTCATTCAAATTATATAGTGAGAGGACATTTGAAAAAATTATTTTGCTGCTAACTTTATATTTCTTTTTCACTTCCAATAGTAAACTGTTATGGGATTTTTTGAGTTCTTTGTGTAAATGCCAAGAAGATAAAACAGTGAGAATAGCTGTACAATGTACATTGAAATTAAAAGCAAAAATATTAAAGAAGGAAGCTACTTACTTTCATTTGCTGTGCAATATTTTATTTAAAATTATAACTTATTCTATAGTATAACAAATTATACACAGTTATTCATTATTTGTGACCTGGACTTTAGCATTGAAGTTTCATGACTCCTGTAGATTTTGGAGGCTGTAAACTATCTAAAGATTCCATCAGCAATTTTCATGCATACGTAGATGAGTTAAAAAGCAAACAGATATAATTCTAGTGAATAAAAAAAAGCAAAATTCTGTTTTAGCTCAAACAGTAGGTGATATTTCATAAACACAGCAAAATGAAGCAACTTAGCATTACTCACATTGCATTATTTTATTCATGTGCAGTAAAACTAAAGTTCCAATGAGCTTCTCTACTTACCAAAGCAGGACATATGAGAAATTTTTTATTTAATCTATTTCATTTACACTTTCTTATATAAACTAATAAGCTTCCAATTTTTATATTTTAGTTACTTTTATAAGAAGAATTTGTATCAAAAACAAGAATTTAGTATTTCTGGACTCTGATCTTTTTCTGTGGAAGACGAGGCACTTTAAGCCTACTTTTTGATATGATATTGAATGTCCACAATATAATTCATATTTATTTCAAATATTCATTTTAGAATAAACAAAATATATTTCATAATACAATAGAATGTCCCAAAACTACTATAATTTAATTGTCTTTCTGACTGAGCCAAAGATAGGTGAAAAATTCCATAAGCTTCTCGAAAATTAACACCACAATTGCAAATGATAAAACTGAAGCTTAATTTCTACTTATGAGTGGCAAAATTAAATAACTCGTATGAGAAATCTTGTAAATATAAAGCTACTTTTCCTGTGCTCATAAATACTCCAGTAGCAATGTCAGAGAAAATTACTGATATTTTTTTAAACAATGGTTTGAGAGAAGTATGTCTTATGAGTTTGACATTTTTTTATTGAATAATTTTCAGCAAACCACAAATACTGTAGACTCTTAGTTTATATTCCAGCTTTTTTGGTATCTATAGTATTTTTTCTCTAATTAGTTGGACACTCAGAAAATCATATGTGTAGACATAAAATCAAAAATGAGCAAATTGGAGTATAAGTAAATCATGTGACACAGACAAGTAAAGAATAAGAATTTGTTTAAGTATTTCCTCTTGAAATTAAGAAATTAAAACTTAATATAAAAGCTTGAATTACAGATTACATTTTGATGACAAGCTTATTGACATATATTAATAATAAATGTTATATTGAATTTTAAATGTAACTCTGTAAAAGGTCATGACATGCACAGTTTGACCAAGCTGTTGGCATAGAGTTAAAGCAAGTTTAAAGCTTTTGATAATTAGACTTTACAGAAAGTGTACATGCTGGAATTTCCCATTCCCTGCACTACCATTTTTCAAGTTCCCGTATAATGTTTGGGGTGCTGAAAATTTTGAAATTTTCTGGAAAACTTCATGTAGTTCTAGAATCAAAAAGGCTAAGCCGATGAAGGAAATTTTACAGACATGTTTTAGAGGTGCATAATGTTCAGGATAAAGCAAAACATTTGCTATTTTTAACCCTGGAGAAGAGTAATAAGCATGATGTGCATAATGAGCAAACTACGTAAACTGAAAATACTACAGTAGTTGTTTTTTTGTACTTTTTTATTTTGGACACAAAACTACTGTTTTGTTTGATCACATAAAGTGTGTTCGATAACTAGGCTTCTTATCTAACTTAAATAATTTGATTTTAAGTGTCATATTATACTAGGAAATAGCTTTTGTTAGAACACACTTCCATTTCCATCTTGACTTTATTATCTTTATTTTAGATTTTACATGTATCTTTTTGTTTTTAACTTCAAGAACTTGGGCTTAAAAGAAGCTAATGCTACAATTAATAAAGTAAAGTATGCAAGGACTGTTTAATTTAGCCAGTAAGACATAGCTCACAAACTAACACCAGGTGCACAGTCACAGACTTAACTGTTTATGAATTTATGATATGTGTAAGAAGTAATTAGAATATTCTACAGTATTTTGATATAGAATTTTAGTAGATTAAAAATTTTCCTAGTGAGTTTATAGATTATTTATTTACAAAATTTTCATTATCTTCAGCAGCCAGTGCTTTTGGAGCCAAACCAGCTGTCAACAATGTGTTTGGAACTTCAGCATTCAGTACTTCTACACCAAGTAGTGGAGGACTGTTTGGTGGATCATCATCCAACACAGGAACAGGATTGTTCAGTGGCTCTACAACAGGATTTGGCCAGCCATCATCAACTGGTTCAACAGGATTTGGTATGTATTATTATTAGAAGGACAGATGCGATCAGTCAATTATTATAATTGTTTTTCCTCTGCCAATTAGATATTTTCACTGGTATATACATCAAAGAAAAATAATGTAATTATAGTGATTGTTAGTTGTATGTCAATTTAACTGTAAACAATTGTTGTTTGGGAAGAGAAGTTTTGTTTCCAACATGGTGTTCATGTTCTTACACTGCACTGCTTGATCATGTGTGAAAAATAGAAAGAAAAATTGTATCATAATTAAATTCAAAGTTTGTTAAAGAAAATACCATTCTTAAAAATTGTGATGATAACTTCATTTTGGTTATTGTAGTAGCACTTTGATTTGGTATTTTTCTCTACATTCCCTTGTTGCTTAGCATTTGGAAATCCCTCAACCAGTGGAAATCTTTTTGGAGGGAACACACAAACAGCCAGTGGAGGTCTCTTTGGAAGCAGTAGCACCTCAGCATTTGGGACACCACGTCCAACCTTTGGTGGGTTTTCCTCCAACACTGGCACAGGACTCTTTGGTCAACAGCAACAGCAGCAGACCACAGGGTTATTTAGTCAGACAGCCACTCCAAGTACTGGTCTATTTGGCTCAACAGGTGAATGATTTGTTGTTAGCTTAGTGGTTGCATGTTTAATTGTCAGATATGTTGGTAATTTTTTATATATTTATTTAATTGCTAGAGTAATGATGACACAAAACAGATGTTTATTCAAGTCTAACAAAAACTAGAAATGTATACAGGACTTTAGGTGCACCTTTTCTGGGATATAGGACAAAATAAGATTTTACCTTCTTTATTTTTATTGAAATATCCTATTTGCAATTTTACAGGGGTTCCTAGATCTTTACTAGTTCCTACTGCAATAAAATTTAATACTCGGGGTGAAAAGTTTTTAGGTTTTAAGCTTGTATAAAAACTGTACTGTAAGTTAAAAACTCTTGTAGTGTCTTCTGTATTTCAAACTAGAAACAAGATTAGTTGAATACTTCAACAAGTCTTATGTCTTGTGTTCAGGAATTAGTTACATAACCTATTTATATAGTTATCTTTTGGATCATTTCCTGACTTTACGAAAATTTATAAAATTTTAACTTGTTTTTCAACCTACCCGAGTCTAAATATATTTTTTATCGACTATTCATCTTTTCTAGAATTGGGTAGTATATTTTCATTTTGCAATATTCATAGTGAAATTGTGCACATACAAATTTATACCTGAGTTAGTTGCAACTAAAAGTTACACATAAAACATTTTGAAGTGAGGGTTTGAGGATCAGGTCTGTAGTTGAACACGGGCATAAAATAATTGCTTTTTTATGATAGGTATTGTAACTTTATGTATTGTTTAGTTAGTAAAAATAAAGAAGTGTGATAGCTATAGTCATTGAAAATAATTTTAACAGCAGTTATTTATCTCAATTATTATTAAAGCTATTAGCAGTCATGATATTGAGTACAAGTTCTGTGGCACTGATAGGACTACCATTAGTTTATCAACTATTTAACATCTCTAATGGACAAAACTCAAATAAATGAGTGTATTTATCCACATTGAATAAACTAAAACTTCCTTTTGGCATAAAAACATTAAACTTCCTAAGCCATAACACAAAGTAAGAGGTTTCAGTCTGTTAAGATCTTAACTTTTCATAGTAGTTTTTCTTTCACTTAGTGAATCATTAGCTTATGTTACTTGACGAATACAGAAACAATATTAGTTTTGATGATAAAGCTTTCTGTTTACACTATGAATTTTAGATATTCAGTAAATGAAAAACTAAAGCCATGATTTTTTAAACAGTATAAAAAAATGCCTTTCATGTAATAAAGTGAATTTGATTGAAGACTTCCTTGGACTATATTTGTCTTAGAAGTTTTTGGAAGACATTATGATCTGTTCTGTAACAGCAGGTCAACGTGTAAAAAATTGTTTTTGAGAGATGCATTTAGTCTCCAATCAATTACTGTTTTCTTTACTTAAACTTTCTCTTAAACAAGAGCACAATGCACCTTTCATAAAAAGATCATGTACAGAAAATATCTCGAAATTCTAGTATTTTTACAGTTGTCTTCAAATGTTTAAAAAAATATATATATACTAAGTTTTGTGCAAGTAGATTCAGTAGTTTTGTTAAAAATGTTACTTTTGTGAAACCGACAAGTAATAAGTATGATATGAGATAATTAATGGTTGTTGCTGTCCATCAACCTGGAATGAATTATTTGACAGTATTTTTAATGCTTATTTTAATTCTTTTTGTATTTTTATATATGAAATCCCAGCTGCAGATTTTAATGCTATTATTATGATACCAAAGGTTTTTCTACTACTGTTGGCACTACAGTAAAGTTCAACCCACCGATTGGTTCAGATACCATGATGAAGAATGGTCTGTCAACAAATATTAACACAAGACATCAATGCATCACTTGTATGAAAGACTATGAGAACAAAAGTCTTGAGGTAAAATAATAATTAAATACACTGAGAAGAATGAAGTAAAAGTAGTGGAATTTAAGTAACTTACAGTTTGTCATTAGAATAGGAAAAAGCCCCCCCCCCCTTATTTTTGTGAAGAATAATGATTTTAGGCTTTACTAATATTCCATCTTTGCTCATTATATCCTTACTTAATTCATCATAAAGATATTTATAATATTAAAAAGAATATTTCTGCCTGTTAATACCCATAAATGTAATGGTGTTTGACCAGCTCCAGGTAAACATAGCAAAAAAAATGACCACATTTTATTCGTATCACATCAGGTAGAAACAGCTGATGTATATACAATACTTGTATACATCAGAACCATAGTAAATATTTTAGGTTTAGAGGAATTTTTAATTCTTTTATAAGATATTTCATATGTGCTAAAGTAAGTGTTCATAATTGTTTTGAGATTTATGTAGAAACTAGGAACATTTTTGCATAGAAGAAAGAATGTCTGAAAGATGAAAGTTGTTTTAGATACTTTATAAATTTATCTGTTTTTCTTAAACGTAATCTAATTTTAATAAGTTGTCGTCAAGTTTAGACTATATGTAATGGCTTTATGATCAATTCTGTATGTGGAAGAAGTCATTGAAAATGGTTTATATAAGTATTGGTAATAATTACATCATACTTGAACTAAATGGGAAATGTCATCATGTTAAAGTTAGTACTGTCAACTGTTTTTCAAAATAATAGATGAACATCTTTAATGAAGTACTTATCCAGAACTAATCTTTAAAAAGATATAGTTATTATAAACTTAATACCATACATACATTTCAGCTTGCTGTGAATGTAACATAGATGTTAGTCATGTTACTGTGATTGAAGACTTTAAATATAACTGAGAATTTCCACATTTCTAAGTGCATGAAATATGATTTTTCCTATATACCTGTGATGTAAACAAGGATTTCTACAAATCTAAGATTCCTCAAAAACTGATTTTATTGCTTTATTAAGTGGTGTTGAACACACTCTAAATGAATATATTTTCCATATTTTATTTTTATTCTTAGGAGTTAAGACTGGAAGACTATGTGGCCAACAGGAAAGGTGGTCAAGTAACAATGGGAGGATTTGGTTCAACAGGACAGACTGGGTTGTTTACCACTCCAGCTTCAACTACAGGATTTAGCTTTGGAACACAGAATAAACCTCTTTTTGGTGGTTCATCAACAAGTAAAGTGTTTTGACATATGAAGTGATTTGTTTCATAGCTATTATACAAATTCTGATAATTTAAAAAAAAACAACTAACATTTGTTTTCATTATATTTCACACAAAAAAGTCATTACAGAACAGAAATAGTATCCATTTTCCTAACAAAATCTCTGGTTGATGAATTAATTAAACTATTAGGCAATATTGTTTTTATAGAATATAGATAGGTCATAAATGTTTAAGTAGTATTCCACTTGAATGTTGTTTTCTCAAGAAAAGCTTCTCATTAAAGAAACATGAAACTATCAACTGCAGAGTTTTGTAGTTATATGAACAACACCTATGGCAATATGTTACTAACTCCAAAGAAAATTTACACTGTTGAAGTTTATATACCTCTCTGCATATTTCTGAGTAAACTGATACATGTTTTGTGTTAATTAAGGAATATATATATATATATATATATATATAGTTAATGCTCATATCATATGGTATTATGCTTAAGTACAAAACAGAGCATATGGAAAACATTAAATTCCTTTAAATATGATAATGTGAAGCAATAGCGCACAAACAAAAATTACAAAATATGCAAATTCTTTTTTTTTTGCTGTTTATTTTTGTAGTGCTTTTACTGTTTCTGTAGTGCTAATTGGTTTTATAAACCTTTAATAGACCCAGTAAAGTATATAATAAGAATTCTGAAACTTGATAAATGATTTTAAAAGTTAACTTACCAAATTTATATCTTGAATTGAAATATATATATGTATATGTGTGATCCAAGAAATAATAATGCTACATTTAAAATTATTGTTGATTTAGCTTTTATTTAAACTCTCTTATGAAACGTTTTATATTTCAATATTTTTTGAAAATTGTTACAATATATGTACGTAATATAATATTTTTGTATGTTTTTGTGTTGTTCATTTTATTGTAACACTTTACAAAATCTGTGTTTATTGGAATGAGAATATTACATAAAGCTATTGAATTTCTGAAAAACCTTCCTTTAAACTTATATTTTAACACTATCAAATAAATCTGTATTTGGTTAGTAGTATTGTAAACATTGACTTGTGGAAAGTTAAAAAAATATTCATCAAACACTGTTGATATAAATTAGGTACTTTTGGAACTACTGGAACCACTGGTTTATTTGGCCAGAGCACTCAGCAACAGCAAAGTACAGGTCTTTTTGGTAAACCTGTAGGATTTGGTGCCCCAACAACATCTACCACTTCTAGCTTTGGGGGATTTGGTACCTCTGGTGGTACTTCGTTATTTGGCCAGGCCAACCAGCAGAAGGTAGGAGGATAATGATTCAATGTGCAAGCATGTACAAACCATTAGTTTTATTGAAAATAATTATCATTACAAATAATGCTCAGTTTGTTCAGCTGTATGCAGTATTTTGTGAAGACAGACATAATAGGTGGTTTGATAATTTTTAGATGTGCATAAAAACAGTTTATACCATAAAATTGTCTTATGATGTCTCTAGATGTTGTGAATAACATGTAAGTTTATAAATATGTAACATAATGGGAATATTTATATATAAGTTTATCTGTGACAATGTTGTAACAGCTTCATTGGACTATTGCGAGCTTTTTATATTCACGTTCAGAGAGCTTCCCAAGATACCTTGTGATGTCTTAAGCAGGTCTGAGTATAGTCCCTTAACACTTGTTTTATGCAGATTACATTGTAGTGGATTTGAAATTTTTATGGTCTGAATTTGGCTATAGTATAGAGGGGAGTGACATTTTGGTTTGTGCTGAAAGATTAAGACTACATCACAGAAATAAAAACATTCTCTATTTCTACATTCCAGGTAACTGCAGTGTATAGAAACTTCAAATCTAGTACCTAAATCTGTCTCATATGTATAAGCTTATATTAAAAAAGTGATTTCTCTGCTATTTACAAATGTCAGTTTTTGTGTTATAATTCAAATCATTAGGATATTTCCAAAAAATATTAAATGTTTCATTTGTTTCATTCCTTCCAGCCATTTTGTAATAAAATGCTACTTTGATTGGTTTGTCATATTTAAGGCCTAGTATTTGACTATTTTTGTATAGTAACTTTTTCTAAAATGTAGTCTTAGAGAATTCGGCTAAGTCAACCTTTCTAGAATGTTTTTAACTTTTTAATTCTGATGCATTCCTTAGATTTAGATAATTTTTATATTATTTTTCTTGAAGCTCAACTTTAACCTGATTGGCAATGATAAGAGAATTTGTTATTTCATTGCTGTTTTTTTTTTGTTTGGGTGTGATTTTGGGGCCATTTGTTCTGATCTTTATGTTTTTTCACTTCCATGGAGAACACTGCTTTGAAATGTTGTTTCACCTGGCTCTTCATCATATGATGTTTGTGCTATATGAATATCTTTCCGTGGGAAAGAGATTTGGTAATTTTCTATAGCCACCTATTGTAGCATTTTGTATCAAATAATCAGGAATTCATCATGCTTGCATCTGTGACAACATATTCCTCTATTAAGAAATTTACAGATAATTTTTTTAAAAGTGATTACCTGTTTTTATTAAGGGATTAGCAGGTATTTTAATTTTTAAAAATTGTAGAATTACAAAACCAGTATTTACATTCTTTAGACTTTGTTTGGCCAACCTTCTGGAACAGGACTCTTTGGTTCCACAGCTACATCACAGCCTTCTGTAGGGTTTGGGACAGGAAGCACATTTGGTTCTGGTTTTGGTGCTAACACTCAATCTGTAAGTACTCTGAGGTATTGGATGATTTCTTGAGCTTTCCTGTATTAGATTTGTTAATTTTTTTTTCTGCACTAAGAAGAAATGTATAATGCTCAGTGCTAGTTAGTATTTCATTACTTCATGATTTGGTACATGTGTGATTCATTTCTATTTCAGTTTTTTTTTATGCAACCATTCAATATTAACAGAGATTTACCATGTTTGTGATGTGTTTTTTAAAGAAGGAAACGTGATGATTGAAAATTTTGATGAAATTGGAAAACACAAATGTCAAAAAATTACTAGTATGTTTTAAACACATATGAATCAAGTTGCTTGGTTACAGTATCTGGAAAACATTCTAAAGTATGGTTATTCCAGGTTTTACCAGATCTAACCAAGAACTACAGAACTTTTATTAAAACCATGAACATATAAGCACACAGAATAGTCTTGTATGCATAAAAATCAAGTCTATAAAAACAATTGTTTTAGTATTGGATGATTATTATTTAAACTTTAGTTTTTCTATTATGTTATTTTTACAATAATTTTGTGCTGTTATTGTGTGTGTGACTGGTAATGCATTTTTTTAATCCTATGTGGCTTAAATATAAAATGTAATGATTTGTTCATTTCTCAAAAATACATTGTAACTTGCTATTTTATAAATTTAAAACTCCTTATTTGTGCAATATTTCTTTATCTAGACTGGGCTATTTGGAGCCAAACCAGCTGGTTTTGGGACAACAGCTGGTACAACAACCAGTACTTTTACTTTTGGAGGAGCAGGAACTGGCTCAGGACTTTTTGGACAGAAGCCTGCTGAATCCTCCTTTGGAATGGGCTCAACAGGATTTAGTGAGTATTGTCCAGTATTCAGTTTCCAGAATTGTTTTTTTTTAATCTTGTAAAATTATATTAAACTGTGTATTAATACTTTCATCATGAAAATTGCTATTTAAAGTTTTCTATTTGTCTGTTGTTTTTTTTGTTTTTTTGTACAGTGTATTTAAATGTTAAATGTCTTTTTAAAGCATGTCTTAGATTTGAAGATATAATAATTTTTATAAATTATTAAATGTTTCAGGTTTTGGAAATGCTCAAAACCAAGGAACAAGTATGTTTGGACAGAATAAACCAGCAACAGGATTTGGAATGGGATTGGGAACAGGTTTTACTGGGACCAGCTTTGGGTCCGGTCTTGGTACTGGTACGTCAACTTCACTATTTGGAAATCCAGCTGCCAACAAGCCTTCATTTTCATTTGGTGGTGCTGGTGGTGGGGGTACCAGTACTGGGTTTTGTAAGTTTGGGTTATTTTTTTGTTTAATCTTATTTGAAATGAAATTAATCCAAGTTTGGAAGATAATGTTGTGTTATGGTCAGTGGGTTTTTAGATGCTAAGTTTTAACCTATCGTTTTGTAATCATACCAAGAAAAAATAATAGTCATCTCTATGAAACACCCACACACACACACCCACAATTATGTATAGTTCCCTTAAAATTGAAAAATGAAGGACCTATATCTTCATAAAAATGCCTCAATACATACAATTTATGGAAGAGTATAAGTTTAAAGGACTAATTATTTTACTGTTGACTTTTGGCTGGAATGTAGTTTGTTTTTTTTACAGTATTTGGCCAGCCTGCAACTAGTTCAACCTTTAATTTTGGAGGACTTGGAACCACACCATCTCTTGGCAGGTAAGTGTCAAGATTTTGGGTTTTTTAGTGATAGTTTGGACCATGCGGTTTAGCTTACATAGGCTGTTTTTGTATGTGCTTGTGGTAAAAAGATGAAAAGTCTAAGAAATGCACAGTGCTGACTAATTTATCCAGATAACTGGTGATTCTGAAAGGTAACTTAAGGTGCAGCTTAGTATATGGGAAACTTTAAATGATATTGTTACATCTCTGAGACCATCTGTCATTTGACAAATTGCTGCAGAGATTGACCCTAAGTATATTGTGGTTAGGGTGTATGATAAGTTTTCACTACGTATAAATGTTCTTTAAAATTTTGTGGTTACTTTCATACAGGGTGTGAGTAAACATGAGTTGACTAACTAGCTAATTCAAAAATGTTTGTATTTAGTATGAAAAGCTTTGAGAATGGATGATAAGAAATGAGTTGAATGTATTATATAAGTATAAAGCTGAAAACAGTTAAAGGATATAAGATCTTCAATCTAAGGAACCACTAAAGCCAAACTTGCTAGGTGGAGATGCAAAGACAAATTTCTTTAAGGCTTTTTCCTCCAGCTGACTTGGTGAAATAAGTATTAATAGAAGAAGTGTGTATCAAAAAGTATATTTTGTGCTCTAGAAATATGTCCCTCAGTGGGTCAGCGGTATGTTTATGAACTAACAATGCTAAAATTCTAAGTTTGATTCCATATGGTGGACAAAGCACAACTAATCCACTGTGTAACTTTGCACTAAAAAAACAAACAAAACGTATTCTAGAAAAATATTTTATTTTTTTATGCAAATATGAGACATATACAAGTCTTGTTTAAAATTGCATCTCAACTGTGTATAGTTTTTAGTAGAATCAAACTTTGCAAAGCTGATTTAGGATGATATATTGAGGTTCTTCATTTCTTCCCATCAATACATATATTTACCTTGATAGATTTTATTTCATTAAGGAGCACTTTTTGTGATATATTTTGAACACAGTTCATTATTGTTTTGTACAGAAGCAGTACATTGACCAGACTAAACATTATGTTGGTAATATAAAGTTAAAAACAAGATGACATTTAGAGAAATGTGTTACAGTGAAAATTAGTTTCAGATAATAGCGTATAATCATTGCTGTCAAACTAATTAGATCCAGAAGAAGAATGGGACCTGGAACATTGTTCTAGTAAAGTGTGTTTAACCTTCAGTTTTATATCTTAAAAACAGCTTCTGTGTATTGCTGTTCTGTTTGTAATGAGTCTTTACTAGATATTATTGTTGTGTGTTAATTTATTATTTTTTAGAATTTGAACTGTATTTAAACATGGGGTGTTATTCTAAACATGCTTCTATATACACAAGGATATGCCAAATTTAAAATTAAAGTTTGAGTAGTTTGCTGTATACTTTGCTTTTTATTTTTCATGTTTCATGAGTTGTATAAAAAATGGTACCATAAAATAGACTGAGTGATTTAGCAACTTTTTGTTTTTTTTTTTCTTTCTGTGATTAGCAATCCTAATGCATTAGCAGTAGCTCAGCAACAAGCTCAGACTCAACAGCAGGTCTTAGCTATGGCTGTCAATTCAAATCCATTTGGTGATTCTCCCTTATTTCGGAACATTATCAAGGTTTGTGTTAAAGCATTTATTGCCGATGGTCCTATCGTGTTTTATAAGAAATTAAAATGTAGAAAAAATTCAGATTTTTCTTTTGATGTTTTTAATCTTTCTTCTCAGAAGCCATTCTTACTTGAGTTAGCATTAAGCAAGTCTTATGAAGTTAAAATTAATCTAGTATTTATTAAAGATTTAACTTGGATTTATTCTTCTATTATTGGAGGTGAATAAAAACACGATTAGCAACTAAGATTCTCTCAAATGTACATCAGATAGAGAAGTTAATATTGAACTCGCCATGCCCTAATACTTATTATTTTGAAGAGGAAAAAAAGTAGTAGTACTTGAAAAATCCAGATTATCAAATGACATTCCTAATTGACAATCAAACAATAACATGCTTTTGGGTACCAGTAACTAATTAGAAATATACTTTTTGAGTAATTTATAAAAAGATTTTCTTCGCTATTATAAAACCATTTCCAAAGTCCTAGACAATTATGTATTTAATAATACTTGTTTTGTCACTTTGAAAGCTTATATATATATATATTTCTTCAGTTAATGCTAGGTGACAAAATAAGTGTTTTATTTAAAAAAAGCTTTAGAATAGCTGAGAATTTGGTATTATTTCTTACACTTTTTAAAGCTTTCATCAAAGCCTAATTTTGAGTTCATACTTAGTGATAAGTGTTGACTATAGAAATTTGTTTTATGTATTCATCATTCTCTGACTGTGTTGCTGATTATCCAGCTGGTATAGTCCAGATCTTCAACATAATGTTTTTATCTTACTATACTACCTGTTATTAATAACATTATGAAACATATATATTAACTTTTTTTATGCATGTATACATAAAGAATAAAGAAACCTGTTTGGCTAAGACTAGAAAAAGTTGCATAAATAATTGAGTTGTTTTTTTGGTTATGCTTATGATGGAGCTATAATTTCTTTCTTAAATTTTTCACCAGACCTGAACAAAGTAGCTGCTTAATTTGTATGCATATAACTTTTGTAAAAGACACCAGTCAGTCAAGGTTTGGGATCAAGTTGTTTTAACTTGTTTTATATAAAAGACCCATGTTTTTCGTAAAATATTTTGCTAAATATTTTATTAATAGAATTGACTGACTCATTCATGTTCTTTTTTAATGATAGTTTGTGCATTTTAAAATATTAGTTTAAAATAAAATAACTGCAACTTTTACAGTAGGTAAGATCTTAAATTGATAATTGCAATGTTTTGACCCATCATCAGGTAAAAGTTTTTGAATGTGACTATTGCCTGAAGATGATTTGATACTATGGGTTGAAATGTTGTAACTATCAAAATAAGATCTTGCCTATCATAAAGGTTGCTAGTATTTTATTTTGAATTCATTATTCAGTTCAGTAGGTTTCTCACTAAACATTAAAATATTAGGTTGTTCTTTAAGTCTAATAGCTTCACATCACTTGCATATGAACATGTGATGAGTTTTATACATATTGTAGATAAATATTATTACTAAAACTTAATAGATTGTTTCTTACTTTTTAAGCTTTTCTGTTTATTAAGTATCAGTAGAATATTCTAGTTAACCTAACTGCTTATGATATGAATGTTTTGCTACTACATTTACTTAGGATTCTAACAAGAGAGAAGAGGTTTTAAAGCCAACCAATCCATCAGCCCAGAATGCCATATTGTGTTCAAGTCAGCACAAAGTTTCTCCACTGCCTGTAGCTAAGATCAAACCTAAGCCTATACAACCTGTTGGTAACAAAGTTAGTGTTGATGCAAACTTAATCTTTCATTATTTTTCAGCAGCAATGAAAAGTAAATGGTAAAAACATAAGCTGTGTTTTTAGGCAGTAGTGTTTATAAATTATTGAAAGTAGGTTGTAAAAGTTTAATGTACATTTTTCATGAAGACATACAAAGCTTTTGTTTGCATGGTATTCTAGAAAACTCCAAAAATACCTTGAAAGAGAAATTTGGTCAATATTAAGCCATATTACTATAGTAATTAAGTCTAATTACTACAGATCGTAATAGACAATTACAATTAAGAGTTTTAAGCATCTTTACTTTTCGCTGTTGCTTTCATTTAATTCTATTGTTTTATTGTTCTGGGAACTGTGTATATCTACTGTGACAAGCAGTGAATCACATGGTGGGAGTGTGGAGAGTTTAAGGTAGAGATTTTTCGGTTACCACAAGACTAATTATATTCTCGTTGGTTCCTCAAGAAGTACCATGAAAAAAATTTTAATTTTTTTTTCATTTATATATTTTTTTGTATAACCCAATAAATTTTTGATTTTTACATTTTAGTTACTTAAAAAAAATAAAAATAAATATATCAATATATATCAATAGATAAAAAATATACATAACAGTAAGAAATTTACTCTTATTTATAAGCCTATAGCCTACTTCACTAAAACTACTTTGTTTCAAGCTGTTAGTTGCCCAAAGAATAATTAATGTAACTCACAAATATGCATTTTAAAACATAACAAAAGAAAATAGCCCAAACTATTATAATTTATTTGGCTTCCTAACTGAGTTTTAAAAATGTAGAAATTTCATTACTTACCAGAGCAGTGACTTTGATATACAATTAATAAAACCTGCTTAAGAAATATTGCCTTTTACTAAAGTAAGTTAACATAAAATGTCATAAACATGTAGTTAACAAAATGATGTTTTTTTTTGGTTTATAAGTGTAGTAATTGAAAAGTAAGTGTGAGTAAATATGCAATTTCAGAAGCACGAAGGATTGGGAGGAGCTTCTGTGGTGGGTGTATCAAATTTATTGATACCTAAGAAAATATGGGAGGTTCTTATTTTAAATTCTGGATTGTCAGTATTTAATAGTTAGTGTTTCTAATGGGTGAAAATTTAAAATGTACAATTCAGAGCAGACAGGCATCATTTGATATGGAGAAATGAAAATTGAGAACTTATTTGAATATTCATTTTTAAATTCAAAAATAAAACTTATCAACACTTGAATCAAAATCTTTTGATGCCAAGTTTATTGAAAAACTTTGATAATAAAATCTTTTAATTCAATTTTTAATGTAACTCTGTAAAAGGTCATGATATGCACACTTTGACCTCCACCTGTGCTCATAAAGTTGCTCAGTTTTTGCTGTTTCTATTTGTTCTTTTTTAGATTTCTCTGTTTGATGGATTAGAAGATGAAGATTCTGGTTTTGCTAATGAGACGTTTATTCCCCGTCGAAGCTTGAAAAAGCTGGTAATCAAACCTAAAACTTCCCCTGAGAATTCTGGTAATTCTGTATCAGTCATGAAATCTGTGCAGCAGAGTCCATTTGGTACAAATGATTCTTCTTTCTTGAAAACACCTCAACAAAATCACAACACTCAAGCTTTAACAACACCTTTGACTGTTGACATTAGTGATAGGTGAGAACACTTTAAAATGCTAAAAACTTGAATTTTGATTCTTGCATCCTTCATTCCATGTTAGATGATCCTTTATCATTACTGTACCCTAATTCATCTGCTTTATATGTTGTCTGGGCCCTATACTTAAATGAATTTTAACACAAGTATTCTGTCTAATTGTTGCAGTGTATTGGCTTTACATATACTATTTTAATTACATGCTCATTTAAAGTATGTTGATTATGAAAAATTAAAATTGTAGTTGTTCAGATTGTTAATTTTTACTAATAAACTAAAATTTGTTTCATTGAAGTTGGTTTAAGTGGAGATCAGAAAATGGATACATTTTAATTAAGTTACTAAACCTTTTCATAATTCATTGGGATTTTTTAAATCTGAATAAGAACCAGTTTTTACTTCTGCCACTGAAGGAGGACAAAGGTCATATTTTCACCCCTGCGTGTGTGTGTTTGTCAGCAAGATTTCTTGAAAATGATCAAATGGATTTGGATGAAAGTTGGTATACCTTTAGACTATGACCCAACTTAGAAGTGATTAGTTTTTGGAGAGTCAAGGTCACAAAAACCCAAAGAATCCATATCTGTTAACATGAGGACAGATTTTTCACTCTATTTTTGCTCTATAATTCAGTCAAGAATTATGGAATTTGATGAAACATGCTGAGCATATCTAAAATATTATTCCCCATTGTTCTGCCACAAATGGTCCGTGTCGGTTAATATTGATCGACATACAGACACATTTTCGTATTTTTGGAGAGCCTAATATGATCAACACTGCATGGCGGAGGTATGAACTCTGCTGAGTGCCCCTCTATTTTAGATTGTTGCCTTAACTGTGTCATGCCAGACATGACTGCATCATAGTCAGAGAATTAAAAACTTTAATACTGAAAAGTTTTTGATAAATGTTTTTTTTTTTAGTTTAAAAATACAAATTTTAGAATGTTAATTTCATATCTCTTGATCAGCTGTCCAGAAATTTTGAACTTGTTTTAACTAAATTCGTTTATTTGAATATAACTATCAGGTAAATGTCCTTTCTTTGGTGTTGATACAAAAAATGCCCTCAAAACAAGAAATTTATAAATTTTATTGGGTATTTTTAGTTGTTTCATTCTAATAAACATTGAATGTTATATACCCCTGATTGTAAATTGCTGTTTCTTAATACAAGAGATTGTTGTACTAGTTGATGATTTGAACAAACTTGTTAAGATACAGAAAAATAATTTTAAAAATTCTCACAACTTGCTTCATTTTTGAGATATTGTTTTCAGTTTTTTGTTGAACTCTGATTGGTCAAAATGTCTTTAGGATATTGATGGTTATTCCAAGTTTTGTAGCTAAAGAGAAGTTAAATCACAATATAAATTTCGTTTCAGATTCTGACAGAACATTACACATTTATTGTTTTGGTAAAATTGCAAGAGCGTATGAATGTACTTTGGACTATAATGATTGAGATTTAGTGAAAGACCACATCTTTATGCTATTGATTTAGATGCATTAGTTTTATTTAAAGTAAAAGAAAACAAAGTAATATTGAAATTTTTTGGTTTCAAAAGTAAGAACTACCATTACTCAAATGTTTTTGAACAGAGGAAATACCAGTGTTGACCAACCAGCTTATAATGAAGAAAAAAACAATAGCCCAATCACATCCTCCAACCAATATTACCCATCTTCTGTCTCTATGTCTGTGTCAGGGTATTCAGCCACGTAAGTGTTATTATTTTTTTTCTGTTGCCTGCTTACATTTGTGTTGCACTTTATATTTTCATTATTATTACATTAAGCTAGAGGTGTACTCAATATGGTTTGCTGGTTTCCAAACTGTGTTGCAGGATATAGAGTTTGGTTAATGTATAAAAGTTTGATATCAAAATTTGCTTACATTGCTGTGACACTGAAAAGAAAACTTCCAGCTAAATCATTTCAAGTAAACATTAGCAGCCTGCAAGAACAGCTCTATAGTTCTTAGATGGTTGTAAATCTTGCACAGTTTTTGTTTATTTGAACAAATTTATGTTGTTATTGAATTAAATAATGCTTTTTTTTTATGTCATAAAAAATGTGGGAGATAATTTATTTTAAGAAATCAGTTGTGAAATATGTCATTTCACCACCAGTTCATGTTGTTTTTGCATTCATTTGAGTTTTGTTTTTGATTTTATTTCTATTATTAATTCATAAAGTACAACTTTCTACAATATTTAAGTTTTTACTTCCAGTACTTGCCCAAGTTTAATTGTAAAACAAGAAGGATGCCAGCAAATTACAAAATTTTTCTGCATGGTATAAATAATTTTTGTTATTATGAAATACATATATAATCAGTTAAAAAAAAAGAAAGAAAACTAATGCCCATGTATATGTGCATATGATAGATGGATACCCAGTGTAATGATCAACAAAAAAAAATCTGTAACCAGGAAATTTAAGCTTTTTTGATGGTTTGTAGATTCTTGATTTTAACTTTATCTGCTACTGGAATTTTACTGTTCAGAGACATATGCACACAAAAAAATTCTGGTGTGTTTGATTGCTATTAGAGCTTAATTTCATGATATTAAGAATATTTTAAAATAATCCTTAATTTATTGTTGTTTATAAACATTTGTAAGTTGTTTTCTAAGTTTTTCACACCTATCTTTACAATGACGTTAAACCAGGAGATAATATTGGAGACACTGTTCACTGCTAACTCAAAGCTACTAGAGTAAAGTTCTACCAGACTAATTTAATATAGATAAATATTTATTTCAAACTTCTCTATTTCCTGCATCAAAAAGCTATTTATTTGTATTCTTACTAGGCTTAATTTCAAAATAATTGGCCAGGAAGAGATGAATCAGTTTTAATTACTTTTCTTTAGCCTTGGTTAATTGGAATGATGAATCTTTTTTGAGAGCAAACATTGATGAAAAAAGTTCGCTTGTTATATGTATAGTGAAGTATTTGTTTTACAGTGGTTGTATTAACAAGAAGTTATAGTAAATTAATGCTATTTATTTCATATCTTTAAATTTTCACACACTTTTACACATAAGTACTTGCTTGTACTATGTAACGTAGTACGGATGAGAATGTTCTGGATTTCTTTCTTTTTAGTGTCATCTGGGACTATTCATGAGTTTTGCAATAATATGAGGGGAAAGAGGCAAAGATACTTTATTGCTTGCTATCATTCCAATAATACAGTCAAATAAAACATGCCCAAAATTGATCTTTTATAAACAAGACTTCCATTTTTCAGTCGCACACAGCAATGACCTATTCTCTGTTTCGTTATTTTGTGTATATCTGCCATTATTTTTTTACTGATTAGAATTTAGCTAATATGTTCCAGATTCTAAAAAGTAGCATGTTAGTGGGGTGGATTTTTTTGCACAAAAAATTAACTGAAAATTTACATGTTTTATTTAAAGATGGAATTAACTAAAAAATGGTAGTTTACATGACAACGGCATAAATGTGAGAAGACTATGTTAGTAATTAACTTCTGAATGAAAGTGAGGAGTGTATAATAATATGTTAAACATACTGTATCTGCAGTATCCAGTTTTTTCTGTATGTTTCACTGTCTGAAACTTATACTTCATCATCAAATTGTTGAAACCTTATTAGTAATCTAGTTTTTGCACATTGAATGAAATGTGTGAAAAATGTATCCATATCTTTTTAGGTTTCAGCCAAACCTTGATGACACCATTGCTGCTTTGAACTCGGCTAACAACAAAGCTACAAGCCGTAGCTTAGGTATAGCAAGCTCCCGATGTCAAGAAGATGCTGACCAAAGTAATCTCTCCCACAGTATTTCCCTTGAAGAAGATGAGAGTCAGAATGATGATTTTAGTAAGGAACCATCAGAAACAGCTACACCTCACCCAGCAGGAATTGTATTGAAACGTCCTGGCTATTATACCATCCCTTCTCTTGAGGAATTGGCTACCATGACTGATGAAAAAGGCAACTGTATAGTGGAGAACTTTACAATAGGAAGGGAGAGTTATGGAAATGTATTCTTTCCTGGTACTACCAATGTTAGTGGACTTAACCTTGATGAACTTGGTGAGTCTGTCTCATGTTTGTAGTAGGTCAATCTGTGCTATGAATATTTGAAGAAGTCTTTTATGATTAATTAACTTGATTTAGTTTCCTGTAATTTTTTTGTCAGAAATTTTTTTAAGATTTTGTCAGACATTTTTCTGAAAAAAATATAAATACTTTCTTTTATGGTAAAATTATAAATTTTTTTTATGTTGATCAGAAAGTTTCATTTTATACATCTAATAAACTTCAACTTGATTAATTTTCATAAATGGTTTTTAAAAAATTGTTTTATGTTTGCATAGACACCACTTCTGGCTAAAATTGAAAAACAAAAATCACTTAAACTGACAAAGATTTATCAGGGACCTAAGACTTTAACTTTCAAAGTGGTGTCAGGTCAAGTTAGGTAACATTATTTTTGCTAACGGTATTCTTGGTTGAAATGAATTTATATCATAAAATTGTTTTCATAAAATTATGAGTTTTCTTATTTACATATGTGGTATAAGTATGTTAAACTCCACAATAATATTCAAAAAATAATGATTTGAGTAACCAGAATATTTTGGCTTCACTACTGTACTCTAAACTTAGTAATGGCTACCTGATGTCTTGTCACAGATGAAAATTGACATAAATTTCAAACAAATATAATTTAATATGAAAACAACATTTAGATAAAATACAAATCTTAATCTTATTGATGTATCCATGTTTCACATATTAATTAGCTTAAGAATGAGATGTCACCAAGGTTTTCTGGTTTATGAAATATATTGCTAGTTTTTATTTCTATTTAATAAATTTGAATTAGTCAGTATGGATACTTTTTTCTTTTCGAAGTAAGGTAATGTGTGTGTTTGTTTTCAAAAATGTTTGGTAATATTTGTGATAATTTTTTTTAAAGTTTGTAAGTGGAATATAAGTGTATATTTCAAGATTATTTTTTTTAATATAATGTTCCATTAATATGTATTTCTTCAGTGCACTTCAGGAGAAAGGAGATAACTGTGTACCCAGATGATGAAAATAAACCACCTTTAGGAGAAGGTTTGAACAAGAAGGCACAGGTGACCTTAGATTGTGTCTGGCCAAATGACAAAAATACCCACACACCTATTAAGGTATGAATATGAATCAAAATGGGGTATAATTCAAACTTAATATTATGACCATTTTCTGGTTGTGGACATATAACTATATATATTTTATATTACTTAGGTTTAAAAGCATTATTGTTTTCTTTATACTCAGAAAAGTTTTAGAAGATGCAAACAGAATCAGTGAATTAACGAGTATTTATTGTAGTACAATTTTGGGTAAAGAGAAAAGAGTAGTTTTAGATTTGTTTAAGGTTTTGTATATTATCCTGCATAAAAGGTTTAACATGATAATAATGTTCAGCAAATTCATTGCATAGAGCTAACAGGATTTTGTTATTTCAGAATCCAACACGTCTGAAAAACATGTGTTACCAAGAAAAAATTGAAAGAGCTACAGCACGTTTAGGAGCCAAGTTTATTGACTACAGACCAGAAACAGGATCATGGGTCTTTGAAGTAAGACATTAATATTTTTTTATTTGTTTGTTTAAAAAAGGTAAGCTCTATTCTTGAAAAAAAAAAAAAAAAGGAATCGTTAAATAATTGCTAGATTCACACAAGTTTTATGCAAAAGTGCATTCAAGAAATTCATTTGAACCACAAAGAAAACTAATTCTCTTTCAATTTGTCAATTGAAATAAAGAAGTGAGCAAAAAGCATTTTATATGTAAATATCAGAGTACTGGTATATTGTGATTAGAAAATTAGCCAGAATCTATTTTTTAGTCAATAAAGGTGGAAACATAAAAATATAAAGAAGGAAAGAAACACAAATGGTAAAGTATCTCAACTTTGAAAATAGGTGTGTCTTCTGCTAAAAACCTTTGTATAGAGGAAGAGCTAAGTATTAAAATGATGAAAATAACTTGCTAGTCATCCCTAATGGCATTTTTTTTGTTTTACAAATTTTGAAGAAATACCCCACACTTGAAATTTGTCAAAATACTTCCCAACTAATTAGAGCTTGGAAATGTTTTTATTTTTACATATACTGGATATGTAGTTGGCACATGTGTATAAAATTTGTTAAATTATAATAAATAATTAAAAACAATGTTTTGCATTTACACAATAAAACTTTATTTAAGCCATACGGCTTCAACTTTAAAATAGAAATATCACTCTATGCGTACATGTTTTGACGTGATCTTCGTCATCCTCAGGAGTAACTTACAAGACTATTTTATACTTTACCTTTGTCACATTACTTCATTGTTATTTGCATATTTCCTTGGTGTAATAATAATAATAAAAAAAGGAAATATGCAAATAACAATGAAGTAATGTGACAAGGGAAAAGTATAAAATATTCTTGCAAGTTACTCCCGAGGATGATGTAGATCACGTCGAAACATGTACGTGTTGAGTGGTATTTCTATTTTAAAGTTGAAGCCGTACAGCTTAAATGAAGTTTTTATTGTGTAAATACAAATTGTTGTCTTTAATTATTTATTATAATTTAAAAAACTGAGTGTAGTGTTATTTTTCTTTTATACAGAAACTAGATATCCTCTAGAAAGTTTGTTTCTATCCTTCTTTTCTTTGTATTGTATTTAAATGCAGCATTCAGCAAGTCAACATAACTTCATCAAAGAAGTTATCTTTTTTGGTTATGGAAATGTTGGTAAACATATATATGTAAAGTGAACAACTTTACTAGTATCTATGAAAGCTAGTGATTAGGAGTTTTACTCCACCAGTAAAAGACAAGGTATTTAGATACACCAGTGTTTGAGTAACATACAGGTAAATATAAGTATCCATAATATAGGCTTGAAAAATGTTAGTATTTCTGAGATTGGACAAAAAAAAACAGTATTTGATAAAATTTCAGAGCAAAAATTTTCTGTCTAAAAAGTTATTATAGGGCAGACAGAAACATACAGATCACTATTCTGACAATTAAACTGCAGCTACATCTTTTCTGGTATGCACCGCATATTATGGATTTTATATATTTGGAAGACTTAAAGAACCTTCTTCTACATCTTACTAGTATGCACTGCATATTGTGGTTTTTACATAGTAAGAACACTTGTCAAGTAAACTGCAACTACATCTTACTAGTATGTACTGCATATTGTGGATTTTCTGTAATCAAAATAGTACTTGACAAGTAAACTACAGCTTCTGATTTACACTGCATTTTATGGCACTCAAGATAGCATCCAATATTATGTATACTGTTTACTTCACTTTTTTTTCAGTAGAGCTTTCTACCATAACAAGCTGATGCACACAAAATATAAGATAATTCTCTTTGTGACTTGTGGCATATTTATATTGTGCGCGAGTGTTACATTTATTTGCTCACACTTTGCCACCATGCATAGGTCTACTATTCATAGTGTGTGATTAGCTGTCCACAGTTCAGTTGTTAATTTTCATATCCATTGTAATTTAAGGCTTTACATTGATAAAATGTTAGCACCTATCATTGTTCATATGCAGTGTAACTAATAATTTATGCTTAGCTTTACTATAGTGATAACACATTTATCTTATTAATTTTAGTAATAATGACATTTTTAAAGTATTTTGAAGATTGACTTATAAAAAGTGAAACATTTATGAAATATCTGTATTTGGTTGCTGATTTGCTTAATGCTAAAATCTCAGAGTGAAGAGATCAAATACCAAAATCAAATGTTTGTTGAGTTTTGTGTTGATTTGTATTTCTTATTTTCTTTTTAACATACTTATGTCGTGACCTATTACCAAGATGTTTCTGTGCTTCTACTTTATTCAGACTATCCTTTTTTTTTTTAAACCGAGTTTTACAAATACAGCTATTACTATCAGTGTGTGTGTGTGAGAGTTTCTATGTGTAGGTTATTTAAAATATACACAAACCCTGAGATTGAAAACTAGATATAAATGGCACATTTGGACATGAGCGGTTTAAACTATAATCTGAAATGAAAACTTTGTTTTGAACACTCAAGGTTCAGCATTTCTCAAAGTATGGCCTAGAAGAATCTGATGAAGAGGTTGAGATAGTTCCACCAGCTCAAGAGAAAGAGTCAGAGAAACCAGTTCAACAGAACAAACAGATACAGCAGCAGGTACCCAAGTTGTCCTGATTTTAGGATGTGTGATTTACATTTTGTATTCCTTGATTATCTTTTCTATAGGATGTAGATGTTATTTATATTTGATTTTATTTAGTTACAAAATAACTTGTCTCTTATAAAAGTGAGGAAAAACAATTGTTAGTGTGCATTTTAGTTACCCTATGAAAAGTAACAACTATTAAAAGATAGCATTTTTCTTTATTCTATTGTTGTTTCTATACTCATCCATTTATATAGGAGAAACAAATTGAAAGGAATCCTTGAGGTTTGTTTATTGTTATCTTCTGCCAGTGTAGATATTACTTTCTAGGTATAGAGATTCAGTTAGAAGGAGCAAATGTAGGAAAAATTTTTAAAATCTGTTTCTTTTTTTCTTTTTTTTTTTTTTTTTTATTTGTTCAATGATTGTCTTATAGACTTAATAGGTGAAATCTGCTGTGAAATATTGGGTTCTCCTTCTAAGTATTAGGAAAGAGCTTTGGAATGGTCCTTGAGACAGTAATTTTTATACATCATTTAAAATAGTCTAGTTTGTAGTGTTTTCACCAGCTGTGTACAAAGTTCATAAATAGAGATGGTTATTGTGTCAGGGGTTGGACCAGTGAGGATTTTTCATCGCATTGAATGAATCTGCAGAGCTCTTAAGGTTGAGAAGATTTGATTTACTACTCATCAATGGAACTGACAAAAGAAATTTATTTAAAAAAAATTAAAATAAGAATTTGTATGTGTTTTTATGAAAATTGATCTCTTAAAAGCAGTTGTGGATAACTATGAAAAAGGAGGTGGATATGCTCATTAAAAGAAAATGTTTAAATACATGTCTTATTAGTTTTACTAATGTAATGGTTTGTAATGAAGCTTAGATAATATGCTAACATAAAGGGGTTTGTAGCATTTTTTCAAAGTTTGTATGTTGCTAGAAATTTATCTGTTAATTGAAGCACTTAAGTAAATGAAAAGTGATATTTTACTAATTGAAATTTTTCAGTCGCTTAAATTTTAAATTTATTTGAAATGGTACTTTTTTTAGGCCCCACAACAGTTTTTTTAACAAAATGGATAAATCACTCAGTTTTTAATTAAACAACTTCTCTTGAAAGGTTCAAGTGAATGGAGGTCTTAAGAAACAAGCTATTTCAATGCAGCACATTGATGAAGATGATGAAATGTTGGACATAACCCAACAGACCATGCCTCTGGAAGACATTGAAGGTAATGATCATTTAGTGTTTAATAACATCTGATATCTTATGAAGATCTCATTCAGCCTTGACATTAAAATTTTGGTTTTCTTCATAGTTATGTCACTTTTTGTGAAGCACAATGTCTTAGTTTTAAATCTTTATCATAATTTGGAGGCTTGGCATGGCCAAATGGTTAGGATGCTTGACTCGCAATCTGTGGGTCATGGATTTGAATTTCCATTGCCAAACATGCTTGCCCTTTCAGCCATGAGGGTGTTATAATGTGACACTCAATTTCACTATTCGTTGGTAAAATAGTAGCACAAAAGTTGGTGGTGATGACTGTCTGCCTTCCCTCCAGTCTTTCATTGTTAAGTTAGGGATGGCTAGCACAGATAGCTCTCGTGTAGCTTTATGCAAAATTCCAAACAAACCAAACCATAATTATTTTCTGGAAGATAAACTTGGATTTAGGAACTGTTAGTATAAAATTGTTTAAATAGTTATTCTAGTGTATTTCTTGGCCCAAACTTGTTTATGAAATGTTAAACTGTTTTTATATAATTATGGGAGCATCACAACTGTATTATTTAGAAACTTAGCTAGAATGAAATGAGCACCAGTTTGCAAAGGCTAGGAAGTTAACCCTTGAAACTGTGCATTATCAAATGATTTTTATTTATTTTTAAAAGTATATATATAAATAAAGCCTGTTTTTATACTTTTGTCATTTATATCAACCTTTTACATATTAGCTATACAATGACTGACTTAAATGGTTTCATGTGTATCAAATGTATGTGTAAAAATAGTAATTTTTACTCAATTGAAATTTTAGCATTCGGTGATATTACCATTATACTGGCCAGTCTGCAGTATTTTTCATGTCTGATCTGTGTTTTATGTTAATGTTAATAACTGTAATTGAGTTATAGTTGAGATTTTAATTAAAAATAAAGGCATTGAACTATGTTAATCTAACAATCAATTTAACTGATAGCTCAGGCACCCGATAAAGATGTTTTAATATCTTGGGAACAAGAGACCAGTAACAGTGTACAAACTAATTTCATAGGTATTTCTATATAATATAAAGTAGTCTTCTTTTTTGTACATGGTGTTTAAAAACAAATGTAAAAACAAGTATGCCAAGTATTAACATTTTCTAGAAAAATGCTAAATCTATTGGTGAACACTAGAAATTATTATTGTTAAATGCTGTATTGTTTTATTATTTTAAAATATTATTAGGAAGAGAAATTGGAAATGATATCCTAAATCTTTGTAACTTGCATGACACATACTATACATTAATTCCTCACCTCAATTAAGTTTTTTAAAAAAAGCCTTCCAATGTAAGTAATACGTGGTGAGACAAGTTGACCTCCTATTGCTTTTTAGTATAAACCTGTATCTCTTAAATGATGAGTTATCATATATATGCATCTTTTTTTTTTATCCCCGTCCCACCAAACATGCTCGCCCTTTCAGCTGTGGGGGCGTTATAATGTGACAGTCAATCCCACTATTCGTTGGTAAAAGAGTAGCCCAAGAGTTGGCGGTGGGTGGTGATGACTAGCTGCCTTCCCTCTAGTCTTACACTGCTAAATTAGGGATGGCTAGTGCAGATAGCCCTTGTGTAGCTTTGTGCGAAATTCAAAAACAAACAAAGCATCTTTTTTAAGTTCATAACCTACCACATACCATCAAATCAGTACATATCTAGTGTAAAAAATTATGGGCAAAATATGATGTATTGGTTAGACAAATTAATTTGAGAATTTTGGTGAAAAAAAAAAAAACAAGCAAAGAATTTGAGTGCCAATATTAACTTAAAATATGCAGTGTTTACTACTGGACATCTTAAATAGATTTTTTTTTCATCTGTTTATTAATTGGGGCATGTGGGTAGTTAGAAAATCTCAAGATTTAAAAAAGTGAATGTGCACCTAAACTTTTGAGATTTTGTCTTAAAATATTGTAGATGGCATGTCATGGGTGACATATAGAACAGGTTTAATAAAAATTGTTTCACAGATGATATAAATAAACATACAAGCTACTTTTTAAAATATTTTTCTTGGTAGTGTACAAATACTTTTATCACTCGTAAGCTAAAAGCCAGTGTTATTGTTATAACATTTGTTTTAGATAAAGCTGATTAACTATAGAGGGAATAAAGTTTGGAGATGGCTTGAATGGGTAATGAAAGAAACTGCTACAAATGTACAACATTTTGACAACATTGTCATCATCAGGTACCTGATGGTGACATAATCTTGTCAAAACATAGAATGTTTGTAATAAAGTTTTTTTTTTTCAATACACATTCAAGCGGTATCCAAACTTTATTTTCTAAAAAGTGGGTTCCTTGTCATCAGATATAGTGAAATTAAGCTGAAGTTTGAAGGATTTCTTATTACATTTTGTTAGTCAAGGTGTTTATTCTCATAGAATTAAATATGAAACAATTAACTCTTTCAACATGGGCTCAGTCAATATGACCAACCACGTGACCTCTTTATATGCAATTAAAGTCTTTATAGATTTAGTACTTCTAACTTTCAATATAGTTTGTAAATCTTCACAAAATTTGGCAGTATTTCGCATACAAAATATCATATTTTGTGGTGATGTATTTTTAATAAAATAAAGATTTGTCCATGAATATATTATTTGTTTTGAATAGTCTGTGTGCAAAGTAATTTTCATGTTAAAATTAAAAATACTTTTCCTCATCTCCAAAATCTCAAATTTCCTTTGTGTAATCCCTAAAACCTCCTAAATGCATTTCAAACGTTTTTTCAGTAAAATTTTATGTTATTTTCTTTACCCTATCTCAAAACGGAATCAGTCAATTCAACTGACCTCGTAACCACCAAAAAAAATAAAAATAAATAAAATTCAATTTAAATTACCCTATTTTCTTTTTAGAATGACTTCAAATTCTAACGTGAAACTACATTCGTTTATCCTAATTAGCACTATATTCATAACAGTATACATCTATTTATAATTAAATTTTTTTGTTTTATTGCCCTTTGAACTGTGCCTTACTACTATTCGTGCCAGTATAAGTTGTAAATCACTCGAAGAAAGTGCAACTCATGTTAAGCTAACAAATTACATTACCCACAAACTACTACGAGGTTCTCATGTATGTGTCTCGTGAAACATTTTTATAATATTATTATTATTTATTTTACCTAATCTGATCTTAACTAACGTAAAAGGATCCCTATCTTTACATTTTAGTTACTTTTATAATTAGACATAAAGAATAAACAATAAAGAGAGTTAACCCTAATTTTTTATACTAATGATACTAATGTGCTTAATAACTTTTATTTAATTAAATAATGCACCAAAGAATATAGACTAATAACATGCAAAATGTAGACAAATTCCCTTACCTCTTAAAATTTTCCTGGCTTTTTAACTATGTGTCAAGAGATGTTACAAATTCATCCAAGCTTGTTGTTAACTTTCTCATGGGAATGATGTTGGTACTCTGAGTGAAATTGACATTTAACCATTCATAACATAACGTTATACAATATATCATTTGAGAGGTGGAGGCTTTGACATTCTATTGGTTATAGGTAATATATAATCAAACGTAATAGAGAACTATTAACAAATTCTGAAAGAGGATGTGGCAGGAGGGGTATCATTTTCTTTTCGATAGTTCTGTAACCAATGAAATTTTTATGGAGAATAATTTACGTTTAATTTCAAACATTTTCGAGGGGTGGTGAATAAAATAGGGATGATTACATGTAAAGAGAAAATGTCACATGGATCACACTAAGGGAAATTCAGGATTTTTTTAAATATTGCTTTGTAGAATTAAGAACTTAAAACTTATATACTTTTAAAATATGGATTATTAGCTAAGATTTTATCTTATTCTGAGTGGTATAGCATAAACAAAAAGTAGTTTAATAAAATTTTGAATGTAAGACACTAAAACCTTGTGTCATGCACAGTAAAGGATACCCGTGGCAATAGGGGTAATATAAATAGTTGATTTTACCATTATTATAATGAGAAATATACAACTTGTTTGTAACTAAAACTCAAACTATGTAAACAATTGTTTTCATTAGCTAGCATTTAATATTACTTCAGTTTAGTATATTGTTTAAAACTGTTATTGTGTTAACTGTGTTATTTTAAATATTGGGAACTCGCACTTCTGCAAAACAATTTTTTTTTGATAGTTTTATTATTGTATTTTGTCATAAAAGACTGGAAAATGTGCAAATTATTTCTCAGTATTAGGATAATGAATTGCAGAGCATTTTGGTTGGCATACGATTTTAGAAGTAATAATATACCAAAGTTGTCTGTAGGGCAGTTTGTAAATAACTTCTTATCACCACTAATCATAAAATAGTAAAATTCAACATGAACCTTTTGAAAATAACCCACGTTTTTTAGTATGATAATGAATTTTGAGAACTAAAAAGTGAATAAAACATATAGTTTGTTGAAATAATTTAAATGTTTATATACCGTGCAATATTTTATTTTGGTCTTTTTTTTTCAAAATTCTTCTCTTTTCCCATGGTCTACTTTATGTATAATTACATGACTTTGGTATGTGTAAGAATTACTTCCAGTTATAGTTTAATTTTTGTTCCCCCCTTAGTAGTTGGGCTGCTTTTAAAGTACTTGGAACAAATCAATTCTGGTTACAAGTTGGGAAGGAAAGGCAATGCATAACTATTTGCACTGGCAAAGGAGTGAAGTTAACATGAATTGAGTAATTATTTCCAGTGTTTGCTGGATATACTTGCCCTTTTTTTATCTTGTGAATTGATGATGTTTTATCAGTGTTTTTTGGATAAAACCAAAAATCAGAAGCTCTACATATAATCTATTTAAAATTTTATGATTATAATAAGCCGAAAAAAGACTACATTGAAAATACACTATTTTTATTTTGTTTTCTGCTAGACGATAGTAACTAGTATTATGTTCAAATATAGTGGATGTGTATGTGTTTAACACTTGATTGATTGTAAAGTTATAATTATAAAATTAACTCAGACGCATGGTATTTTCCTAGAACTTAGCCAGATGGATGAAGTGTATTCCCCTTCTGAGAAACTTGCTCATGCTTTGGGTGTTGATGTTCATCGCATGCAAGGAATGAAAGTATCATTCTTTCAAGATGAAGAATCTGTAGAAGAGGGTGAGAAGAACTGATTCTGTACCATGCTAAATTTTCATTAAATTCGGTATTTTTATTTGTGAATATGAAAGTGACTCATTTTATTGATAAAATATGTAGTTTTTCAATTAGGATTGAAGCCAGTGTTTTTTACAATAATGCTTGAAATGACCATTAGTCATATGATGGAAGTTGGCTACTTTTGCATTAAACTTGATAATCTTTCCTTTGGTATAGAACTTGTGAGAATAAAACTTTTCATAGCTGGGATAAAAGGTAAAAACATTGCTCATTAGAAACAACTGCTTCAATGTTTATATGTACTGTGTACACACAACATCTTGCATGTAATTTTTCAACTTACTGTACGTGCTTGTCAATGTGATAATATAACCTACACTTCTGTCAAGTAAATACAAACAGCATATAAAGCTTTATCATGACTTGACAAAATGTGTTTTGAACCAGTTTTAAAAATATATAATTCTTGCATAGCGTGCTACATCCTTATACAACTTTGAAAAACAGTTTTATGGTTACTGCTATTTTGACTGTTTTTTTGTGTGTGTGTGTGTATATCTTTTAACTCCCATATCATGCATTTACCATATTATGATATATTTTCTTTATATATATATATATATATATATATATATATATATATAACATATACAACAGAAACAAGAGTAGTAACAATTATAACAAGTTAATTTTTATTTTTCTGTTATATAATAACAGTGTTAGGTAAAATGGTGTTAAGTTCTGTATTCAATGGCTCATTCATTGAAAAATATGAGTTCATGTGTGACATCTTACAAGACTTTTAAGTTTTATTTTAAGTTAACATATTAGTTGAGTATTTTAAAGTATATGAACAAGCTATGAAACAGTAACCCGTTTTGGTAGTGTGTGTTTTATTTGAAACTTAATTGTACTGTTTAATTTATGACAAGTTTAGATGATATTGCATGAAAGTTCAGAAATTAGGACTTGCTAAAAATTTGCATGTTCTAGGAAGATTTAACTTTGATGCAGAAAAATATTAAAATTCATCTAATTATGGCAGCCTTACAATAGTTGTAGGTGATGACAAGTGCTTCAAATCATTTAAAATCTTTTCAACCTTTTTAGCTTCATCCTGACATTAGTATCTTTCTAGTGTCGTGTCAAATTGAATCATGCACTCAGTTAAATTTAAACTGCCTTATTGCAAAAATTTTGTGTTCACCCATAAAGTAGTATGAAAAGCCATGTTAAAATGGTTAATGTTTTAGTTTAAAAGAATTAAGGAAACTTTTTTAAATTAATTATTAGAATTTTAAGTTAATAAAGATGTGGTTTATAAGGTTTTTTAAGGTATTAAAGTGTATTTATATAAAAAAAAATGAAGTTGTGGAAACCAACTGTGGCATACCGTAATTTTTAATATTAAAGAGTATAAGAATTTATTTTTAATCAAGAAGAGTGAATAACATACAAAATATCAGTTTTTTTACACGTACATAATATGTAAACCGGAGAGCTTAGCTTAAATCTGTTTCAGATTATTGTTTAGTCATTAATAGTTTAGCTCAGCTCAGTTAAGTTTACAAACATTGAAACTTTGTAGTTTCTTGTTGCTTCAAACCAAGTTAGATGATTGCACCTATAATTTTGAAATTATTATTATTTCAAAAGATTGCTCTAAACCTGGTAATAATAATAATAATAAAAGAAAAATTATTAGATTTATATTTAAATGTAGTTTATTAGGTCAAACCTGGAGTGAAATTTTAAGTTGTAGCTCTGTAATAACTATTTTGAAACAGTATTTTTTATATACAAATTGAGGGTTAATTTGTTTTTAAATGTTTACAGTTGAAGACAAGGGTGATCCAATTATGTCCACTCATAGGTCAAAGTACAGTGATAGAAACTCCTATGTATCAAAGAAATACACAAATGGCGAGCATTCTTCGTATGGTGTGTCCTTAATCAAAACGAATCTCTCACACATAGATAGTCCAAAACCTATTTCTTTGTATGGTAAGCTTTGTGTATTTTTAAAGGTTTTTTTAAATTGTACATTACCTTTTTTTTTTACTTGTTCATGGCTCATGGTCTACATGTGAAGAAAAAAAAATGAGACAAAACATAATGCATCAAGACAATTTGCTATTTTTCATGATATTACAATGTTACTGAACTTGGTGTTCATGGCTAGATAAATGGAAACAATTTTTCTAGAAGTATCTATTTGCTGCTAGGTTAAAAAATTATTAAATATTTACATATTTATTCACATGCAAGTAATGGCTACCATGTGATTAAAAATCACTTACTTAAACATTAATGCTAAACTCTGAAGTCAGTCCTAATCTATACTTAACCATAATTCACTTTTATCCTACTTACCTATATGTCCTGTCTATTGAAGATCAATATCCAGTCTCAACTTCACTGGCTCCACTTCAGCCTGAGCCCTTACCCCTTGTAGACTTGTTAACCCATCATCCAACACTGCGTAGTGGTGTAACAGACGATTCCAGTATTCAAATGAAGAAATCTGTGATGCGTACAAAGCGAACATTAGCCTTGGTTAGTCTCAACAAGTCACTTTTAAATGAAAGACACCATCTTATTGCTGACCTTGGATGTTTTTTGGGTCGTTCCTTCCGAATTGGATGGGGACCTGAGTGGACCTTTTCCCACTTAGGTCATTGTATAGGGTCAAGTACAGAACAAGGTGAGGTTATAAGAAAATAATATGGATTTAATAACTAATGTATTAAAGTAATTAATTATCACTGCTATTAGCAGGAACAGTTAAGCATTTTTTGTATACATACATAAATTTTAATACTACATTCAGTACATATAGTAAAATTAAGAATATATGTATATCTTGATTGTATGAAATCTCTAAATTTTATATTCTACAAAGAGTAATACAGATCATGGTTATTTAATAGTTAGCTATTATATTAAAAGTATTTGTATGTTTTTGCAATGCATAGCAATTTTAGTCTACTGAAGAAGGCATAATAAAATTACAGTATTTATGAAAGGGTAAAAAGTTGGATTTAACTTCTTAACAGATATTTTTATATTGTTGTTTTTGTTTATTTATTCCAAGTGAAGAGCAAACCAACTGCTCTTGGTCTTCTGACATCTGTAAAGCCAGCTATGCCAGCTGATTCAACCTTGGGCTTAACCATAGAAAGACTTAAGATGTCTCTATCCTACACACCAAATGATAATTTAGTGAAGGTAAAGAAAACTCGGAGTAAAATATATTTTTGAATATTTAAACAACTGGATACACATACAAATTATTTGTAATTGCAAATTGTTAGATCTTTAAAGCGAAAATTTGGTTGTGTGTGGCATACATAACAAAGAAATCTAGGAAAGACTTTTTAAAATTAAATGTTTTGAATAAACGATGTATAAAGTTTTCTTTTCTATGTCTAAAGTATATCAAAATTAACTTATAGTTTACATCTTTACAATTCTTTATATCTATAAAAAAGGTAAAAAAAAATTATTTGCTTGTCTTTGTGTTTTTCTCAGTGGAAGCTATCTTTTTTTTTTTTTAACTGTGCAACTATGTACAATGCATGTCATTTTTAAATTCTGGTGAATAAACTTAGCAAAAATAAAGTTATGGGGTAACTCCAAGCTCAAATACATTATGGAATTAACTCTATAGTTTATTTTTGTTACATCAGTAAAACTATTGGAAATAGTTACAGGATTGTATCTTTCTGGGTAAAAGTTGATTGTTCTGTAAATTGTTACCATAAACATCAATCAATGTAAATATAAAACTGAACACTAGCCAATAAAACCTCATGCTTTTGAAAATACTCAGGATACGTCATTTATATTGGTGTTGTTGAATGCAATGCAATATATATTATTCTAACCTTTCTTTCTCAGCAAAATCTTTTGGAAAGTTTAAACATTCAGTTGGAGCATTCAGCATCAACAATTGAGGACGGATGTCCACTGTTTATACCTAGTCTTGGAGTAGACTCTCTCCATGCTCATGCAACTTTGGCTGAAACCCAGACAGCAGATGTTGGTGAGTTTATTTGTAATAGATAAGTTTTAAACTTATCAATTTTCTTTTTATTCTGTTTAAGGTTAATTAAATAACTATTAGAAGAGAGAGAGAAATTATTTCCAAAGTATTTGTCAGATTAATTTGTGTAAAAGAGGATATTGATTTCTTGAGATACTTAAAATTTATAAGAATTATTTTTGTAATGGTGGTGAATATTGGAACTTTTAACTAATATTAGATTGATCCATCTTTTGCAATGAAAATTACATAAACTTGGAAAGATATAAACACTAGAAAGATGCTGGAAGGTGTCTTGTTTGTAGCCACTTTGACTAGAAATTTGGTATGTAAATGGCTGAAAGAAGGCAGAAGAGTATTATAGTGGTGAATGTGATGTTCAAATTCATCTCAAAGGTTTGAGATATGGTAATTATACTACTAATTTTTTGAATACAGACTTGTAATCTTGAAACTATACATCCTATAAATATGAGTGTGGGAAATATTTCTTCATGAAATTTGGCAACCTTTTAGTGAACATTACAAATTCTGTTGCACACAAATAAAATAGACAGTCTTATAAAAAATACTTTTGTGCATTTAGGAGGTTCTAGAGGTTATGCATATGAAATGTAAAAACTGTAAGATGAAAAAAAATGTTATTCTTAATTTGAGAATCACCTTGTACTCAAACTGACTTAGTAAAGGTTCTGTAAGTTCAGAGGAAAATTTTTATTAAAAAAAACTACTTAAATTTGTAATTTTGTTTTTGTTTTACAATATACTTCTGTGAAGATACACAAAATGAATTCCGAGTTATAGTGTGTGTGTATGTGTAGATATATACACCTGGAAAAAAGTTAAGCACCCCCAAATATTTTTCAGGATTGCTTATT